TGCCACGGGAGCTTTGGATTGTACAGGACAGTAACAGCTGCTTAATGGTTTTTAGTATTTATATATTTAGAACTTTTCACTGTGTTTAATTAGATAAAAATATTGTTAAGAGTTAATTTTCAATGCTAAATTGGAAATAATATAAGTAAGTTTACTGTTAAGAATGGACAATTTGAGGGCGGGACACTAATGGACACAGTTCAAATAAGGATTTTATTAGGAACAGAATTTATTTTTGTCCAGACAAAAAGTATCCATAGCACAGCTCGTTTGCTTTGTCACGGAAAAGAAAGCATATGAATATTGTATTTATTTATACACCATACATCTAGATCTTACAGGTTCACATAAAACCTCGTTCACATAACGGCGCATAGGAAGCCTGCTAAGCAACTGTGCACCCCATACTGCCTGGCATGCTTCCTGACCCACGGCCGTTTGCCGTGCTGTGGGATCCCAACGGTTCCCAGGCACTGGAATACGACTCTCAGGGACATCCAGTTGCTAAATTGTCGGCGTGCTCCCTGGCACGTTCTTGGCCCACGCAGCCTTGCGCTCTGCCGAACATTTCCTGGTCGCGCTCCATGAATTAGCACAGACCAGATGATACGAGGCCAGGAAAATAATCCTGAGAGTATTCAGTTTACTTGGCATTGTCGACATGTTGTTTCATTTGTGTTATTCAGGAGAGATGTAATGCTTCAATGTGACGGGCTTAGCTTCTCTGGAATCCTGTATGGCTGAAGTATATTTTTATAACGTAAATTGTTAAGCTGTGGAGGGTTGCAAGAAGGAGGAAAATGGTAACCATTAGTATCTAGGATGTTTTTGTGAATTGACAGAAAGACGAGTTTTAGGGCTTTATGTAGAAGGGAAAGTTCATTTTCATTGTAATGACTCTCCTTTTTTAAAATATGTATGTACATGTGGCTGTGTTTGAGAACATGAGCTAAGAGATAACACCATTAGCAGTGTTTTGGGAGGTCAGGAAGAATTTCTCTGAAGGAAGATGCTTAGGTACAGGACCACAAGCTAAGAGAATTCAATACAAGGAAACAGCAGTAGCATACTCTTCACTAAAAGTATTATTACATTGTTTAGGTATAATTTTAAAGAGTAAATATTTTCAGTGTGAAACACATAATAAAGGAGGCAATCTGAATTAGGAGTTAGGTGTACTCAATTTTTATCTGAAAAACTGAATGCATGACATTTAGGTTTGGATTATTATGCAAAAGTTATTACAATACCCTAAAATCTCATGCCATCATCTTAAGTGATTGCATAATTTTTATTGGTCATTTCATTTATTATTTAGAGATTAGGAAAGGGGAAAATGACAGTCAGCAACTGGGGCGGACTCCCTCAGTCTGCCGTTTTAACCTTCTGATGTATTCTGGCCGGTCAGTGGAAGTCAGGCTCGCTGAGCCCCAAAGCACAGCCAGGATGTAGTCAGTTTGTACGAGCGAAATGGGGAACAACAAAAAAGGTGAAAGAGAAATGAATGGGCAGGGAATAGGTTTTTGTGAGTAAAAAGTCATGTGGCAGCATGGTTGGGCAGGAACTAGTCTGAAAAAAAGGGACAAGAAACCTCATCATGCTGATTAATCACACATTATTTCAGCAACACAAAATGTCTTTGAAGATCTGGATCATAATGGCCTGCTTGAGCTACCAATACTCATTTTTCAGTCTAACACAGTCCTCATTCCTGCCGTTCACTCTCCGTGGGGATGTTTCCCTGCTCTCCGGTTGCTGTTACGCTTTTGCTCTGAGCTCTTCTTCTGTCCCCTGAAATACAGTCCATTCCCATAAGCTGGATGTGGGGTCTGTGCCTTGGGAGGACGACATTTCAAGCTTGAGAAATGGTGCTCCTGTTCAGTATGGAATATTTTTTTTTCTACAATGGTCTGGCAGTGGTGACTGAGACTTTTTAAAATTTTTTTTCATCATCTACTGAAACCTTAATTAGCTTAGAAAGAACTGATGGCTGTCTGGTTCTTCCCTGTCTTGTTGCTGTTCAGTTAATTATGTCCACTTCTCAGGGATTTACAACTTCAGGCTTGTTTCTGATCTCAAACATCCTCCAGAATAATTGCAGCCATTCCAAACTTGCCAACATCTGCATCCTTAATAAGCTTTTTTCTTTTTTGCTACCAACCTTGTCTTAAAATATTTAATACTTTTTGGCAGATTTCTGCCCAATTCTACTCGGTACAATCTTTCAGTTCAATAACTAGTCTTTGCTTATCTTTTTCCCTACTGGTCGAACACTCGGTTTACAGAAATTTCCTCTAAACCATATTTCTCTGGTTTGTTTATGTGAATGGCCTGTATCAAAACCCTTAAACTAAGGTGTGCAATGTGTATTCTATTTCCTTTATCCACTTGGCTTATTATCCCGTGACATAAGGATATTAATGTAGAAGAAAACTCCCAGTAAAGTGGAATGACATGTCCAATGATGCTTACATGAGGGATCTGCTGTGTCTTCTCTCCACACACGCTATGACATTCAGTGCTTGTTTAGAGAATCTTGGCACCTGAGATTCCGTGATTCATAGGCAGCATCTCTTTCTCATCAGGGACACGTGTGTTTTGTGGGTGGTAAGTGAGTATTTCTTGTGTGAGTGATGAGCAAAATGTAATGCTGTTTGGCTATAACTAAAGAAGGTGCTTTTGTAAAGAACAAATTCAAGCTATGATAATTTGGGCTTCTCAATCTGGAAGTCCTCAGTTCATCTGGGAGTTGAGTAAGGGGCATGTCTACAGGTAGTTTAACTACACATCTAAATAAGTGATAGCAGTTTGCATATCTCATTTATTCCAGTCACTGATCAAATATTTTGATGGAGTGTGATGCAAACAGAACCACATGTGTGATCCTTTCCTTACCAATGAACAGTAGGCCACATCCTAAACCACTGATGGGCTGATTCATGAGGAACGATGCTTAAGTATGTACTTCGCAGAAGATTTCAGGCAACTATACCCCCCCATTATCTACAACCTCAGCCGGTGGGGTTGTACGGGATTAGTATGCAGCTGACTTTTTGTCTGCTTTTCTATGTTTCCTCTGACTAAATACCTAAGTCTAGAGAGACTTCCTGATAACATATTACCTGTTAAAATGCAGTGCATATTTATGTTTTAATTAGGACAGGTTTTGGTGCTAAGGTTGAAGTTAAGACATGTTTATGTCCTACTTTTTGGAAGCAATTGGTAAGTGTGTGTTCTAGAAATGACAGTGCAATAAGTGTGATCGTAGTCTTTCAGATTTTACTTTCCATTTGCTTCCCTTCTGTTCTCTCGTCACAGACTATAAGGTCCTGGTGCCCTTGGTCTGCTTCTAGGGAAGAGGACAGACCTACTGCCCTCCTTCCTTTCCCCTTGTCCCCATCTTTCCTCACAGTCCCTGTCTCACCTGTGTGGCCTCCCAGGAAGCCTGTTCAGTTTGCTAATCAAGCTGAAAATTGTTTCCTGTTTTTTTGGTTTTGTTTTGGTTTTGGTTTTTTGCATGAGTTCATTGCTAGTCCAGTTGAGTTGATTAAATCAGTTTCTGAGCCGCTGAGAACACAAAAGCCAGTGTCAGCAAAGCAGCAAGATGGTGCAACTTGGGGCCAGGGAGGGAAAGGAGAAGGGCAGAGATGGAAAACACTGCTGCTTCTTTCAGCTGGAGAGACATGTGAGACTGGCACAGCCATGGTGTTTCCCAACATCCCTGCGCTGCTGCCACCTCTCTCCCTGTCCCTGCTTGCTCTGCAGCACCTCACTTGAGAAGTTGGAGTTTTCCTCTTCTTGAAGAAGTTCTCATTAAGCTATGGATATGATGGGAAATTGTGGATGGTAGAAACAAGTAAGAGAAAATAAATAAGAAAATCAATAGCTTCATGCAGCTAGATTTACAGGTTCTAAAAGCAGGCCAACATAAGGCACTTAAGCCTCCTTACCCAAAACAGTAGAATGGAATAGCTTAAAAGTCTTGAAAGCTGTCTCTTTTTTCCTGAGCTTTTTTCTGATCCCAGTTTTTCTCTATCTGTTTCACTGCATTATTTACAAGCAACTGTTAAAATATGAAGACAGTTCAATGTAGTGAAATACAATTCAACATCCCATTACAAGATGCTTCACTGTGGAAGAGAACATCCTTCATGATTGTCCTGGTTTTGGCTAGGATAGAGTTAATTTTCTTTCTAGTAGCTGGGATAGTGCTGTGTTTTGGATTTAGGGTGAGAATAATGTTGATAACACACTGATGGTTTAGTTGTTGCTAGGTAGTTGTAGTGCCTACACTAAGTCAAGGACTTTTCAGCTTCTCGCTGTGCCCTGCCAGGTGCACAAGAAGTGGGAAAGCACAGCCAGGACAGCTGACCCAGACTGGCCAAAGGGACATTCCCTGCCATAGAACGTCTTGCTCCAAATAGAACTGGGGAAGCTAGCCGGGAGGCGGGATCGCTGCTTGGAAACAGACTGGGCATGGGGTTTTTTTCCCACCTGTGGTGAGCAGTGCATTTGTGCATCACTTGTTTTGTATCATAGAGTGGTTTGGGTTGGAAGGGACCTTAAAGATCAATCTAGTTCCAACCATATGATTATGATAATGATTATTCTCTTCCTTTGATATCCTATTAAACTGTCTTTATCTCAGCCCACGAGTTTTTTTTCCATTCTCCCCTCCATCCCACTGGGGGTGGGGAGGGGTGAGCGAGCGACTGCATGTTGCTCAGTTACTGTCTGAGTTTAAACCATGACAATGACCGCAGGTTCAACTTAGATACAGTCTTCAGCATTGACTGCTGAGGCTGGATTTGGTAAATCCTCTACCTAAACTTGTCAAACAGTGTTCGGATTTGTTTTGCCTTCTCCTTTGGTCAAAAGCTGTGGTTCATGGATGGAAGCTAGTCATAGTGGTCACAAGAGACTTGTGCTTAGTTCGGTTTTCATATGAAGAAATACATAGACTTTTTTTATAACATGATTCTTCTTTCTTTATTCTACAGAGACCTAAGATTTAATAGGATTAAAGAAATCCAGCCTGGAGAGTTTAGACGGCTTAAAAACCTGAACACACTGTAAGTTCTTTTTCAACCCTACTGCCCTTTCCCCTTTTGATTTAATATGATTAATTTGATAATATGCCAAATTTGCTCATTTATCATAGGTAAGTAGTCTCACAAATTTCAGCTTTAATATTTATACATATGAGGGAAGTGGGGTTTAAGTCCAAAGTATTTGAAAGCAAGACAGGTATGTGTCTATTAAAATAAAAAAGGAAATTATTTACATCCTAATGTTTTATTAACATTCTTTAATTGGAGGTAGGAAAAATACAGACATTTACGGTGTATTTTTTTCCAAATTGTGATAAATGACTTTGGTGGAATATCACATAATAAATCATGGAGTTAAAAAAAAGCTGTTCAAAGGCTCAGATGTGCAAATGTGTTGCAGTTACAAAGTATTTGACAAACTCTATAATGTTTTCAACTTTCCTATTCTAATGTGTTGACCAGGACTGGCAGAAGTTGGAAGACTTTGTTCCTACTGAACTGCCTTTTACATAGGTCTTCGTTACCATATATGTTTGTGAAGAAAAGTCCATGTTTTCTAAGACTTTTTACAAACTCACAAAGCAAATACTATAGTGTGTTATAGTTTTAACTTAGTATCTCCTCTGTCATTCCTTCAAACATCACTTTTGAAACAAAGGTATGCATGTTTCTCTTCTCTATATTAGCAGACATGAGGAGGAATTAAGATAGACCGTTATTTTTACTTTTAAATGTACATAATTTATGATTGCAAATTTGACTGTTTTCTAGAACACAAGTACTGTGTGAACTAAAATACAATAGTGATATCGGTGGGCTTTGGATCGCTATTATCCATTTATTCTGCAAGCACATAACCACAAACCTATTGAGATATCTTGTATTGTACATTCATACTAGAAGAAATGATAGTACTTTCCTTCAAAAGTATATTGTCCAAATCTGTGCTACCGAGTCATTTTTACTAACTAGTCCTACTTCCAGTCACTTTTGATCATACCTCTGTTTGCAGCTGATCCCCAGTTTTGAATTACAATTTCTGTCAGATAGCAAGTTTTAACTGTCCAAATCACTGATCTGAGATCCACAAGTACTGAATAAACACAGGATTCATTAAGTTTGAATTCCCTTCTCTTCATAAAACCAGTATATGAGGGATGAATGCAAATCTGTGAATCTGTTGGGTTTCTCTATGATGTAAAGGGCCCAGTACACAGAATATTGCTAAGAAGCATCTAGGAAAAGTCACTTTAATGCACCTGTTAATGACAAATCTTTATTAATACCAATTTTATCAATTTCAAACCTATGTGTAGACTTGGGACCAAGATTTTTTTCCCTTCATCTCAGATACCTACAAAAAGCCACGTTATTTCAGTTTATAGATTTTTTTTCCTTTTTTTCTTTCTGTCTGTAATTTTTTCAGAGTTTTCTCCTGCTAGGTAGGAGCAGCTGTAAGCACATCACTTTTTTCTTCTTACAGTTACTGTTAGGGGAAAAAGCATTTTGTTTTGTTATTTATTTAAGTTTTCCTTTTAATGCTGTGTTACACCTTCTGTTCCACTTTTTTCCCCCTACTGTTCCTGTATGTTAAAATAAACAGGTGTTTTTCTTTTTTTATAGGCTTCTAAACAACAATCAGATCAAAAGAATACCTAGTGGGGCATTTGAAGACCTTGAAAATCTGAAATATCTGTAAGTTAAATGAATGTAATTTTTTGCATCAATGTGTAAATGAACTTCTTCAATAGAAAAGTGTTTTAATCTGAGATTGTGTTTTATTCTGACTCACTATATCAGGAGATAAACTGCTTTGAAAATCTGTGAAATTAATTTATGGGGTGGGGAACCATGAATCCTTGTTTCTGTAAGTAGATGCTTTGAGATTTGCTAATATAAGACTCTGATATCTATAGGCAGTAGATTTTAAAGGACTTTCTAGTTGCTGCTTACTATATGCAGCTTAAAAGATAATTTAGAAAGGGATATGTTGTAAGGTTTAGGAAGTCACCTCTTTAAAGGTTCACTGAGGCCTTCATACAGGTACTTTTTAAGTTTGTGTTTTGAAAAGTGTTTTAAAACCCACTAGTCCAAGATTTGTGTCTGCAGAAGCTTGTAACCTATATAAGCTTTTTAACTACTCCTAAATTATTCACTGAATGCAGTATAAATTCATAAGAGAAAAATTAAGTCAAACACAACATAGACAAATACCTATATGATTTGCCATAAGTTCTATGTCTTCAGGCACCCTGTATATTTTAAGACTAACTTCTCCCATTTTTAACAAACATATCAAGTGTATTAATTATCCAAATACACAGAAGACATCAAAAATGTTACTTTTATCTGTATAAAAGACTAAAGCTGAATAGTAGGTTGTCATGGATTCTCAGCTGTAGTCTCTGGAATCCACCTTATGTAGTGTCATGTAGAAAAGTTTCCCTCTATTGTCTTGGAAAATTGATCATTGCTTAAATGCTGTACAGATAAAAATGGTCACTTTGAGATTTCATTGTTTTGGAAACAATTCAGAAGCTTAATTTTTCATCTAGTTTTCATGACTGCAGCCTGAATAGCTCTAAGGAGGAAGGAGAAGGGAGGAAAATAAAAATCACATAAATTTGTGCACACACATTACCTGGTTTTCCAAGCTGTGTTTGATTACATTTCCTGGTCTTGTTTTTATGTGTATTGTCTTTCAGTAATAAAATTGTTTAATCTATATACAACAAGAGGAAAAAGAATATTGAACAGACTATCCCCAATGAATTATATAAAGTCCATGACGATTGTGTTTGTTAGAAGATGTGTTTGCATGGTGGATCTGGTAGTGGAGTACGTAAGGTCTGCTAACTCAGGATGGCTAAGCCTCTTTTCATAGTCAGCAACTGTGCAGAAATACTACTTCATTCTTACTAGTTCTTTGTTTTCACATGCTTGCCTTTGTCTAGCTGTAGTAAACCTGAGATAAAACTCAGCTATGCGCTCTGTTCAGTTCAATGAAAGAGTAAAAAGACATAATTGAACCGTGATTTGTTTTCATATATGTGTAGTAATGTTTATCTACATTTATCTTGTTAAGAGGAAGATCTTTTTCTTTTCCTCTTGTTCCCTGGAAAATTTGAGTATAAAGTTCAGTGTGGTAGTTCATTTAACTGCAGAGAGCTCTTCTTTAAAACCATCCCTTGTTTTGCTAAAATAAACTTTAGGGAGATCTTTTTTTCTTATTTCAATGGCTGTGATAGAAAAGTTTAGCTTTAAACTGTACAGTCTTAAAGTTATAAAAATGCTCATACTGGTCAGATATCAATACAAAAGGCTTAAATGTACCAAATAAACACAGTTCAGCTGTGAAAAATTCAGCTGAGTAAGTACATGGTAATTGTATTCTGTGGAACAAAGGGAACAAAACAGACCATTTTTTCCCAATAGGATCAACTCAAGTAGAAATTAGTGGTGAGAGATTGTACCAAAGTTAGAAATATTGTTCAGAATTTAATACTATAAAGCCAAATCATCTGGAATAATTGAGGTTTTGTGCGGCCTGATCCTATGGATATTTGCAAACCTAACTTGTATTGCCGTGTTTCATAAAATGAGATCATTGGTCCATGATGTTACTTGTGTTCTTATGAGAACTCAAGTACTGGATTGCGGATCAGTCTGAAAATCTATAATTCACAGAGTAATTTTAGAAAACCTGCCATTTCTCAGTGGCTTTGATTTAGCAAAATATAAGGAGATATAAAATGTGTAACTATTAGTAAATATGAACATATAACTATGTGTAAAAGTGCTTGTAACTATATAGGTATATATAAAATATGCAATTACAAAACACAATACAGTATATTTATATTAAAGAAGCCAGTGTCTGAGGGAGAGATGTCAAGGCCAATTCCTGTATCTCTGCTGCAGATCAGTTTTTGTACTTTCAGACAAAACTTTTTTCCAGCAAGTCAAAGAAGCATTAGAATTTTCATATGCTTCTTTGTACTATTTCTTTCTGAAATTGAGCTTAGAGTTTTATGAGGTATATATGTTTTCAGAATTGTCTGTCTGAAGAACAAATTTTGACAAAGAGTAATGATATTTTCTCAATTTTCTATACATTAAAAATATTCATAATTGTAAAAGTTGGTCTTTACATTATAAAAAGAAAATTATGCACATATGATTTTTTGAAGCTTATTTTTAGCAATATTTTTTATCTTGTTCTTTATGTAATTGAAATGTTGACAGTTCTATAAACAATTTTGCGTGATCTTACTGTCTGTGATAATAATTTGTCTTTGAATTCATATACTAAAAGTTGGAAAGTAAGAAATGTAATTATTGTTTTGCTATGAAACCAAGAGGATACTTTTTTTTTTCTGCCTTTCTGCCTGCCTGTCTTTATTTCATATACCTTAGTGTTGGCAATATGGCTCTTTAGTAAGAATCAAAATGGCATTAGTAGCTTGGACCTCATCCATCATATAGTTTCTTTCTACACTTCAGTGATTCTGTATAATTTTGGGGTCTTATGTTCCCCCTTCTGCAAAGGATACTGTAAACATTCCTGTCTAAAATAAGCATTAAAAGTTGTCTTCATATGAGCAAAATAATTGGTAACATGTTTGTAATTTGTTGCTGCTGATACAAGATGTATGTGTATACCTGATGTGTATGGTACACTGAATATATTTAATTGACTTCCTGTGAGTTATTCAGTTTACTGCCTAGAGGTGGTAGTACAGAAAGATGAGAAAGAAAATCTTCCTGACCTTATAATATAGATGCAGGCAGATTTGGGGAAACTTGATAGGATAATCCTTCTTGATCCTGAAAGTCAGCAGTTTATTCTCCAAGATAGAAGATAATTGGGCATTGAAGGTAGACCCTACTACAGTTTTAACATGTATAATAATAGAAGATTTGGCATCAGCAGTGGAAAAAATGAGGTTAAGTTAAAAAGAAAGAATTTAGGGAGGAGATATGGGAAAATATAAAATACAGATTAGCATTTAAAAAAAACCTTTCCAGATAAAGAGAAGGTACTTGGTATTTACAGGGCAGTAAACTAGAAGCTAGTGTGAAGGAAGTGAAGGAAATAAAAATGGAGATTGAAAACAACTTTGGCGACAGCACTGATACATGTTCACTTAGTAAGAAATGGAGAGGTGAGGAATCAGACGTGACAACATTGCAATAAGCATATGATAAACGGAAATTAAGACTGTATGAAATGTATCAGTTCTGGAAATACTAAAAGGCGACATACCAGATTTGTTTTGCCTTTTGTGAATGAAGTAATAGTGGTAGAAGATAGGTTGTAGGTTTGCCAAAGAGCTGAGTTGCTGACCTCACTCTTCCAGAAATGGGATTAGGTCACATTTCCTTCTGTGTCTTCTGCCACTGTTGCTGTCATGGTCATGTTACTTTGTGCTTTGAACACCTCCAGTGATTCCGGATCTCATTTCTTTGCAACTCACATTGCTGATTCCACCATCTCCTTTATGTTTCTATATAAATGTCTCTTTGCTGTATTTATTTACATGTCAGGTTTAACTCACAATGCCTGATATTGCTATTACTTTTTACCTTTTTTTATGACCGGTTCCAGACAAATATGTCTGGATCTTACTTTCCTTAATTCACATGACTTTTAATACAGGCCATAAAAAACCACAAACAAACAAAAAATATCCTCATAGGAGATCTAGCAAACTTTTAAATTAAACCTCCTTTTTTTCTAATTTTCTCATAACTGGTTACCTATTTGTTTGTTCATTTCCCAAGTGTATGACTGGTCCTTCTGGCCTCTATCACCCTTGCTTGCACTTCTGGAAAATGGTATTTTTTTACTCTTCTGAAAACAGTTAGTAGTAGTTGCCAGAAAATAATTTAATGTCTTAATAGAATATATCCCCTTGTCATCTTAATCCACTGTTTATTCATCCTTTGAAAAATTCTAATGGTTCAGTTGTGTAAGAGAGCTTTTAGGTAAATCAAATGAGAAATTACTTTTTCCCTAATTATACTTTAAGTCTGTTTTCTGCTAATGTAACTGGGATAAATTTTGAAAATGTTTTTGTTAAAGATTAGTGCCATATTTACAAAGTTTTACTTGTTAGGCACAGCAGCATTTTAGAAAGACATAAATACTTTTTGTGAGTGCTACTTATTTGTATCTTGTATTCTGTCATCTCTCTCTTCATTAGGCAAATATTTATATATTTTTCTTTCTGTTAATATCCTCAGGGAAATATCTACACAACTAAATGAAAGTCTGGTTAAATTATCTGTTGTAGGACGTACAATTTTGTAGCCTTGGGGTTGCTGCGGTTTCTCTGTGGAGGAGGGACATGATGGACTGAGGTCATTTGTGTCCTGCAGCTGAGGGTTTTCTAATCAGCGTGGAAAAAGTTGTAGTTTAAAGTTGAATCCCAAAGAAAGTCCCACCACAGTGGCTTGGTAAGAGCTCCAAAAGGGGACATGAAAGGCTACTCCCTTCCCTGCAGTGTGGTGGTAAAAGTCTGCAAAGCTTCAAAGTCATTATCCCAGTCTTCCTCTAACCCACCTGCCTTACTTTGTCTGCAGAAAGTAATTAAAAGTTACATGAGTTATTCTGGTAAAACTTGTTTTAAAAAGTTGGATTAATTCAGATTTCTTGAATAAAATTATTCAAATGCCCACAAGAGATACTTAGCTGAGGTTGATTATTAAAAGCCTCCTAGTCCACTCTGGTGCACTGGTCCGATCAGAAGTTTCGTACTCAAAGGAATAAGAGGAATTTCAACACTGCCAACTGGAGTGTATTAAGAAAGGTAAATAACACTTTAGCTGTTCAGTCCTTGAAATTTTCTAAGGAGTGAGAAGAAATGGTGCATTTAAAATTCTTGCTGGAAAATAAGATAGGAATTTAATATCATACAGAGAGGAAAATTAAGGAAAGATGAAATTGTAATGACTATGATCCTCAAATTAACTGGTAAATTTGAGGCAAAACAAATATTTGAATACCCTTGAAATAATAGTGTTTTTCAAATAGAATAAAAACCAATTCCTCATCCAAAATAAGAGTGATACATCTATTATCTGTCTTTTCAGATTATTTTTTTACAGTAATTCTACATGACTATTTTTTTTCCAGTTAAATTTGTTCAGAATTTTGAGCATTTTAAAAACCTCAGAAATTTTTGCTTACTTTTTATTCTGTTATTGGAGGAACTCTGCTCTTTGTTCAGATGCGTATCTATGTTAATTAAGCACACCCAAGTCTCTGTATATTAATGTTTTGGAATCTCAGCAAGCAATGCACTGGAAAACTAAATTTAGGCTCAAGGGAAAGATACTACTCCATATTGTTCCCCAAAGTTGTCATGAGTTGAACATCAGATACCTACAACTTTTTTCCTTGTTAGGGCCTATCATGAAATGTTGCCCATTGTCAAGTCAGTGTAAAAACTGCCACCAACTCCAGCAGAACCAGTATTTTATCTGTTGCATCAGAAGAAGTTTGCAATACTTCCTTCCAGTAAGTTACTGAAAACTGTAATAATAGAAAACCCAAAACCACTACTAATAAAATGCCTGCTAATAAAGTCATTTTTAGTCCAAAGTCTCTTCATATCTTTTTCATAGAAATCCATGCCTGATTAGCTGAGTTACACATCATTTGTCAAATAATTGTTAGAAAGTTCTTACTGCAGACCTGTTCCTAACCTAACACAAAAAGAGAGACTGACACTGAATCCCAACAGTATTTTTGTTTGCTGCCTCCATGCAGAAACCGCGGTCATCAGCTAAACTGTGATTTTTCTCCAACACCCTCTCACTAAACCATCCTTACTGTTAAAAGCATGATGAACATGAGCACATACACTGATCCATCCTGATTTGTTTTAATTCTGTAGAAAAGGTATAGACAGCACACGTGAACATACTGGTACTCTGCATATGTTTATTTTTATTCTGTTTATATTATACAGTATCAATGGGGACCTAATGTCCGTCTTCTACACAGTGATAAAACAAATATACAATGATGTTTTATGGATGCGATACCAATATTCTAACTTGTATTTTTTTGTAAATATTCAAAAGGTGACACAGGTGGAGCTATAGAAATTCTCACTGTTTGTTCTCCAAGTCCAGTAAAAAGACTAATTCCATCATAATTTGAATATTTGTACCAGTATCCAGAAGAGATATTTTAAAGAAAGTAAGAGGCCGATGGCATCCCCAGTGTGTCCTGCTAAAGGCACTCTGATGCAATTCTGTCCCATTAAGTTGAATTTATTTTGTCTTTTGGCAAGCCCATCAAGAAACTGAGGGGCAAAGAAACAGTAAGTAACAGTGAGCACTGGGAAGCCCAAACCATCTGGGTGACAGCCTCAGGGCCTACACGGCCCTAGGCTTTTATCTTTCCTGGCAAACATTTGGGATGAAATCTTAATGACAAAGTATTTTTATGTGTATGTGTTTAGTTTTTGTTTTGTATTTTTTTCCTAATATGTAGTTGAAAAACTGTCTTCACGTTCAACTTAATTCTTCTTTTCCACCTTCATGTAGCTCTCATTTGTGTACTAATATTACTGATTGTTTCTTGTTTCAGCTATTTGTACAAGAATGAAATCCAGTCAATTGACAGGCAAGCATTTAAAGGACTTGCCTCTCTAGAACAACTGTAAGTGCCTTTTCTCTTCTGTGCTGTCATCTCCAAGGTTCCCCTGCAGAGGAAAAGTGCACGCCTTGATCCGTACATCCTGCCTGCATGCTCTGCATGTCTGCACTCCCTGGGTTGTTAGGCAGAAAACCCCATAATCATTTGCATGTGGAAAAACAAAATTGATCTCTGTGTCAAATTCCTCATTTCTGTGTTTGTCTTTTATTTGTGATTTGCATTCCCGGTGTCCCTATACATTGTTACATAGCTTTGATGAAGAAGCAGCATTATTGTGGAAAATGTTGAAAATGAATGTGTATTGCCTAGAGAGAGATTCTGATTTCATTTCTGTAGGTTTTATAACATTGCAATTCCTCTGACTGCAGCAGTTACTCTATTTTATGCCAGCATAACTAGAGCCGAATTAGTCTCTTGAAGTTTAACTCAGTTTCGTAATATTTTAAAACAAGAAGAGATTTAAAAATTAAAACCTTACTATTATTGATACATGTTAATCATTGCCATATACAGATGTTTAAAAACTAAGAAGGTTTATTGCTTGTAATGTAGTTGTTTTGGTAATGTCTTCTAGAAAGGATGATTAAAACCATACTCCAACACACATCATAATGACCGAAGATTAATTTCTATTGAAAAAGAATGAAAAATGCAGTTATTAGCATAACAGAACCTGATTGTATTGATTCTATGAAGTTTAAGTATGTTTTCTTTTATAATCAGAAAGCATTGCTATACATTCATTTTGGTTATGTTTAGAAAAATGGAAAGAGTTATAAACTCATAACTATTTCAGTTTGACTGCTAAATAACAATACTAGACCAATGAGTTTTGTAGCATATAAATTTTGGGGGCTGAACATCTTTCTTCTAGGACCAATATAAATTTTGAAACTCCTGACATTTATCAGTGTATTACAAATTTTCTGTAATATGTACCAGTTTCCCTGTTACTATAAACGTCTAGTGGACATTAATGGACACGGTGTGTATCTGAAATAAAACGGTGCTTCAGATGGGTACAATATCATACAAGCTCATTTCAGAGGGCAATAGATGCCTTTTGAAGGAAGAAATTTTATACAAAACAAAAGTGATAATTATCAAACATATATAAATATGTCATTTGTTTCCTTAATGTCTTTCTCTTCCTCTTCCTCCTCCTCTAGAAATGATTACTGCAGCATATTGACAGCAACTGGTAGGGCTTACTTGCATGCTAATAGCAATTCTTTTTTTCTGTGTAGAAATTGAAATATTGAGGCCCATTTATTGAATTACTAATGCTTCCAAAATAATATTCTTCCCCGTGCCGCAAGCCTGATATGCTGCAAGTGGCAACAGTTGCCCTTTTTTCTTTTGCTCTATTTCCTGTTGATCTATGTCATGACTGAAGAACATAAATCATTCTGGAATATTAACGCCTTCTGAATGTACATTTCCACTAGGTTGCAGTTAAGCCTCTCTGCCTGCAGTGATACCATGCTGTATCAGCTTCAGCTCTAACTTGAGACATCAACATTATTCTGTATGAAATTAAGTTTTCAATAAGGATTGAGTCTCATGGCTAGCTCGGAAGTATGGAAGCGGAACCTGGCACCTTGCTGCTTAGTGACTGCCCTTGTGTCGTGGCATCAGTTGGCACAAGCAGCGCCCGCGGCTGGTCTGGTGAGCTGCTGGGAGGGTTGCTGCCCTGCTGCATGCTCATCAGAAAACTCTCGCTTCTTTTAGAGCCCGTCTCCTGGGCAGATCTGAAAAAGAAGGGTCGCCAGGTGGGAAAATGGGAGCATAGGATCACAGGCCTGGAAATAAATTGAATAGAGTGTATTCATTAAGGTTTTAGTTTATAAGAGTTTGAGGGAGATTTGTCATTTATACATCTTTAGCATAAAAATAAGTTCTGACTCTACAGGGTCTGTTTTATCACACTATCTCTGGAGAAAGACTGTTCACAAGATAAAAATCAGGCATTGCAAACAAATTTTCAAGTCCTCTGACCTCAGTTTGGGACTGTATTGACTGCTCAGTACAATGTTTCTGCATTTGAGGCTTCCACAACCTCAAGTTATCAAACACATTTTGCTACTGGATGTGTTGACTCAGCCAAATGCTTTCTCAATGCTTAGCAGAGTTCTCAGAAGGAGATGCTGCTGTCCACGTCTCGGAAGACTTTGATTCACAGCAATTTCTTGTACTCCAATGAAGCATAATGACACTGATAGTTGCTTTTTTGGTTTTTTGTGGGTTTTTTTGTGGGTTTTTTTGTGGGTTTTTTTGTGGGTTTTTTTTAACTGAACAGAAAAGCAAACATTTTTCTGGTTTTGTTTTATTTTTGGTTTTGGGGGTTTTTAAAGATAAACTGTAAATGTTGTTTGATTTGGAGGCCTGTTGCATGTGTAAGGGAGGAAAAAACCCAGTATGTGCTGCTGCTGGCAGGATCCTGCTTAAACCTCTGCGGAAGAATTCTTAGCTGCTGATGTAGTAGAAATATCTTTTCTTCAGAAATTTCTGCCAAGGGAATACAATCTTTGAATCAGATCTTGAAACTTGCTTGTGCTAGAGTAAATTCTGAAAAAAACTTGGCAGTTTTAGATGCTTGAACACACTGAGCCATACATGTTTCATCACCTAACTCTTCAGTCATGGCAGGGCATGAAGGGAGAAAATCAGCTGATTAAAAGTAGCCGCTAAGTACCAGCTTAGACCCTGTTGAATCTGCAAAACATATGTTTGGGTCTGGCAAATGCGACACATACCAGCAGGAAAGTTGCATTTTTTCGGAGCAGCAACTGGAAGGCAGCCAGAGCACCCGAAAGGCAGCGAAAGCTGCCTCTGTATGCTTGCGCTTAGACAACCGCTATATTATGCCTCTGTATGCCTGTGCTTAGACAACTGAATCCCACCTGAAATACCTGGCTTGGGAGGTCCTGAGTTTGCTGTATCTGGATCCCAAGATCGAGCTCTAAATGCAGATGTACATGTTTGTTTTTACAATATTTTTCTTCCAAATATCTACTATATTTTTTGAGATGTCCTCTTAAGAGCTATATGTATCAGGGACAAAAAGTGTTCTCTGCAGTCCTTAACTAGTGGCATCCCCCAAATACTAATGGAATTATTTAAATCTGTTTACATAATCTTAGTGGAATACTAATTATGTGTTTTCTTTTAACTTTCATATTAACATACTAATTTTGCTCTTTATAAGCTGTTACTAGAGTTATTCTGTAGTTTGTGTATGTATATATGAACATATATACATATTTTGGGGGAAATTAATAGATAAAAATTCTATCTTACATATAGTGATGCAACTTGTTATATTAATTTTATTTCTCTCAATTCAATTTTCAGTAGCTTTGAAATGTTGCTATGATTTTTTTAAGTTTTATAGTACAAAGGGTTCCTGGTTTTTGCATAAATGTATGTGAACAGTTATGCACATTTAACACAGTGGAGTCTGATTAAAGTCTCATTGCTGCTGAAAATACCTATGGTATACTCTTTAAAGAGAGGATTCCATAATCTTCTTACATACCCTGTTGCAGTATTTTAGATTGTTACCATAACATCTAATTTAAATCTCTTTCCTTGGGGTTTAAGCCTGTTACTTCTTTTCATAGCCCTGGGCAGGGAACGATCTTTGATAAATGTGGGAAAAATCTATTTGTTCATTGTCTTTCAAATAATTGCAAATGGCAAACATACTATTTAAATATTTAGAATTTTACTGTACATGTTCATCCTCCAAAATTAATAATAACAAAGGTAAAATCTGAACCATGCTTATTTGATCAAATCTGTATATTCCTGTAGGTGTGTTTGGTCTGGACTTTTTTTCTCTCTAAATATTTCCTTTCCTTCTGTTTCATCCTTGATAATGAATTCAGAATTAAATAGGAAGACACAGGAGTCTTTAAAAATCATTCTTACATGCTTTGTCTTTTAATTTCCAATATGAAAGTCTTTTTAATATGAATTTTATTACTTCATACTACTTTTTTTAGGAATGTTTTATACTCCGAACATAGAAGATGTCTATAAAAACATGTCAGTGTGAGATTATTTCCTGAATATCATTACCTTTAAAGTGAATTTCCAGCCCAAGAAATTATCATATTAATTAAAATATTAAAAATCCTTAAAAAAAGCATTAATGGGGTTCATACAAGAAAAGAATGTAAGTGATAAACCTAAGTGATAAAATGTGATTAAAATGTAGGTCGTAAAGCCAAGGATTTTTTTATTGTTTTTATTGCAGACTTACAATGCAATCTGGTTTCTGCATCTATTTTTTTACAATTACACATGTTGCTAATTACTTTGACCACATATTTAACACCTTGTTCTGTTCATGAATTGCCTGACCAAGTTGCTCAGGACTTTTTTGAGGTCATAATTTAAAGACCTGCAAACCCCAAATAATTTGTAATATGAAGCAGTTATGAGTATTTTCCAGTTGGATTTCATTATCTGATTTTTTTGAGCTACTTTAGGCAGCGTGATTTCTGATGAGGTAACAACTGTTACAATGTGGTTCCGTGCCTGAATTATTGTCGTTGTATCTGTGATGATTTGAGGTTGTAAACAAGGCAAAGTTTATAACAGAAATACTGTTTTAATTAGAACCGATTAATTTGGTTGGAAAAACAAGATGAGTTTTCAGGCACATGAACGATTATTTACATCTGTAATTATAGTAGTCCTGAATACTAAAGCGCAGTTACGAGCTGTTGCTTTGAGTTTAATGATGTATACATCACTTAAACTGTTTTAGAGAGGTGTCCTCTCTTTTTCTGTCTTTGCTAATCTCACCTCTAATCCATGGACCAGAGGAAGGGATTGTGTGCCTCAATGTGCCTGCTGTTCCCAACCTTATTTGTTGCTCTAGTAAGAGGTATTACTTGTACATACAAATCTTGCCTTGTCAATGCCAAAGAAGTTCAAGAGATTAGTTTATTGGGAAGATAAGGAGATAGATTTGCAAGGTACTTATGCATCATAAAAATGCAAGAAGAATTAACAAAGTTAAAAAGAAAAAAAATCCCTGTTGGCAAGAAGTGGTGTATGTAATTTTTTCCAAAATCAAGGCTGCTTCAGAAGAAGTAACAAACCCTATAGTTGTGTCTGGTTTTTCCCTTTGTCCTCTTTCACTGCAGTGATCCCCACCTTGCTTTGCCCTCCCCCATATGCTGCTGATGCTGGGAAGGTGGGAAAACAGAGCCCCAACTCCTTGGGAGCCGTGCCTTCCCACCGTGCAGCTGGGCCCATCCTGCCTCTCCTTCCTCAGGGCTGGACCTGACTGAGGTCTCTCTTCTCTCTGCTGGCGATTTGAATGAACCTTGCAGGAAATATCTGCTTTTGAGATGTCTGTCTTTCTAATTTAGATGAAATTGGCCTGTACTTTCGAAAGGGAGATGAAGACTGGCAGGCACAGTGCTTCTTGTTTCCTTATGCAAACAGGATCATACTCTATGCTCACTGCAATTTGTGGCCACGCGTTGCACTGGCAGTAAGCAGACTTGACACTCCGATGTGCCTGATCACATCCGTGCTGATTTATTGGCTTTTTCTGTGGTCCCCATTCATTGCTCCCTGGCATTGCTCGCTGGCTCGTGCTTGGGCCGTGCTGCTGCTGACGGGGGATCTGGGAGACTGCCAGGCACATGCCTGGCTTCCCCGCCGCACGCGCCTTCCAGGGCTCGTTGCAACACCTCTCTGCTGTAATCGCCACTTCTTCCCGCTTTCCTCTCTCTGCGGCGACCATTCAGCTCAGGGCAGGGAGTAGAGCACATGCAGTGTTTCAGTGCAAGGGAGTTTCTGTGTCTTTTTACTTTTCATGCTGAAGGTGTGATTTTTCAGGAGGTTTGGAGAGGCTGAGATTTTCTCTTTGTTTTTGAATGATGGGCTTTTTTATTCTCCAGCCTACAGTGATTTCTATTCATGCACATCCTCCAGATGTTCCTAAGTTTGTCAGAGGTCAGATAGGAAACTTTAGGAGATTTGGATACATTTGGATATCATCAGCATCCAAAGTCTGCAAGGTTATGGTGTATCTCCACAACATAATCAAGATTTGAAGTTGTGGAGGTACTGCCTCTGCAGTCCATTTTCACAGCAGCTACAAATTAATAATCTGGTTATTGTCTTGTTACATTAGATTTTTTTTCAGTTTTACAGGATTGACTGCTGTGTAATATTTGTTGCTGTGTAATATTAATAGCTTACATAAGCATCAACAGAGCATCAAACAGAGCACAGATGTGGTGGTTAATTGTACGCCAATTGCTGGGAAGCCCTTTGTCTAAAAACAATTACATCAAGCTTGGTTTTATGTTATGAATTTGTTTGGCTTTTGAGAGCATTCATAGCTTTAAATGCCAGGATTCATGAACTAGAGCAGGTTACTTCTCAACATCTTTGAAATTTTCACTTAATGTGATAGCAATGAAAACAGTTGTCCACTAAAAATGTTATTCTGCTGGAAACTGTAAATGTTTTCTAAACAACCTGCAACATTTTCCTGTAAAAAATAATCATTTTCTTTTTTTACATATATATGTATTCAAGTACACATACAAATGAAAATTGGACTTGGCAAAAGAGGATTCAAGGTACTATCTCTAAAATCTCCAAAGTAATGGTTTTCAAACAATTTTTTTTTTGCAGATACATGTACACACACACACACACACACACTCTCTATAGTGTGATCTACAAATCCTTCTTGTTTGTCACATCTTGTATCTCTCATATTCAAGTACAGGATTCAGATGATAGCAGAAAAAAGTTAAGCCACTACACCACTATCACCATTTAGAGGTGTAAACAGGATGTAAATAATAACCAATGTTTTATAATATTTAAGCTTCATTAAGAAAAATGTTTCAGTATTTTTCTTTTTGTTTAACATATTTTCAGGTATCTGCACTTTAATCAAATAGAAACGTTGGAACCTGAATCCTTTACCCATCTTCCAAAACTTGAAAGGCTGTAAGTTTGTTTTTCTTGGGGTAAGATTCAGAAGAGTCAGCTTACTTCTTTGTTTGAATTAAATAAAATGTTTGAAACTAGAAAATAATATTTTTATCATTCTCATAGGTTATTTTTAATCTAAATTTTGTATTGTAACTACTATGTAGTCTTTGCCAAGAACACCTTGGTCAGGATGACCTTATAGGCGTGCAGAAATGAGCATTGCATACGGTGTATTTTTCTGTTGCAAAACTATTTTCCAAAGAGCTGTGATCAATGTTTGGCCTAAAATAAATGTTATGAATGAAGAAGTAGGCGATTTATATTATGACTTTTTTTTTTTTTTACGTATCTCATTTGAATGTTTATGAGCTCTCTCCTTTTTGATTACTTTCTCTTTTTATGGCTTTTTTTCCCCCATATGGACACACCAAATACACCTTGGATGTCCTTTAAAAAATAGCAGCCAATGAATTGCTGAAAAAAGTTCAATTTATTTTATTTTTGTAAAATTACTTTCTCTGAAAGGTCTTTCAGAAGAATGTACATGAAATGAGTATGTGTCAAAATCTGAATTTTTACATGTGTATTTCTGTGCTTTTTAACAGATTTTTGCATAACAACAGAATATCTCATTTGATTCCTGGAACATTTAGTCACTTAGAATCTATGAAGAGACTGTAAGTAAATTGAATTATTATTGAACTAAAGAAAGTTTAAATAATCTAATTATACTGTACCTCATCTTGCAATATTTATCTTCCTTGAAAAATGCCTTTCATTGTGTCATTGTTTTAAATATTAAATAATTTTACCAAAGCTGTACTCCATTTGTGTACGTACACAGACTGAGACCATTGCTTCATATCCTACCATCTTCAGTGACTGACTAAATCCTTTTCTTTATTTCCTGTTTTGGAATCATTTGTAGTCATAAGGTCTTGTTTTGTAGACCAAATAATGTACACAGCTGTTGTTGGGGTTTTTTTTGTTTGGTTTGGTTTTTGTTTGGGTTGGTTTGTTTGTTTTTTCCCCCTCTTCTCTATGTCATACTGGATGATCCTTCTATGTTCTTTCAATATTTGATTATTGTGGTATTTTCTTTTCATTGTTTCACTTGTCCTTATCTGATGATTAAAACATAGTTATAAAAAGGTACTCGGTGGCATAAGAAGATAAGTATTACTTTCAAAAGCCACTCCAGAAGCCAGTTCTTGAAGTGCCATTCACTTGGAAAATTAGACACTTCTTGGTCCCTCAGTAGCATTTGAAACTGGATCTTGATAAGAGTCCCTTTCAGAGAGTTTTCTATCCCTCACTCAGGTTCTCCATCCATCTAGGATAAACATTGTTTAAATTATCGAAGACTGCCCTTTTGAGGAAGGCAGTCATGCACTCATACCCCCCTTCCCAGGAGTGTGCTGTGCGGCGAGTCACAGTGCTAACTCTACTGGGAGAGCACACCAAGCTGTGTGGTGCAGTCGACACGCTGGAGGGAAGGGATGCCATCCAGAGTGACCTTGACAGGCTGGAGAGGTGGGCCCGTGCAAACTGCATGAAGTTCAACAAGGCCAGGTGCAAGGTCCTGCACATGGATTGGGGCAATCCCAAGCACAGCCACAGGCTGGGTGGAGAATGGATTGAGAGCAGCCCTGAGGAGAAGGAATTGGGGGTATTGATTGATGGGAAGCTCAACATGAGCCGGCAGTGTGCGCTTGCAGCCCAGAAAGCCAACCATGTCCTGGGCTGCATCCAAAGAAGTGTGACCAGCAGGTTGAGGGAGGTGATCCTGCCCCTCTACGCTGCTATGGTGAGACCCCGCCTGGAGTACTGCGTCCAGCTCTGGGGGCCCCAGTACAGGAGAGACATGGAGCTGTTGGAGCGAGTCCAGAGGAGGGCCATGAAGCTGATCAGAGGGCTGGAGCACGTCTCCTATGAGGACAGGCTGAGAGAGTTGGGATTGTTCACCCTGGAGAAAAGAAGGCTCCAGGGAGATCTAATTGCAGTTTACCAGTACCTGAAGGGGGCTGGAAATTGGAAATAACTGGAAATAACTCTATCCTTGCCAGAACCAGGACAGGGGCCTACAGGAAAGATGGTGAGGGACTGCGTATGAGGGAGTGTAGTGACAGGACAAGGGGTAATGGGTTTAAGCTGAAGGAGGGTCGATTTAGATTAGATGTTAGAAAGAAAGTCTTTACTGTGAGGGTGGTGAGGCACTGGAAGAGGTTGTCCAGAGCGGTTGTGGATGCCCCATCCCTGGAAGTGTTCAAGGCCAGGTTGGATGGGACTTTGGGCAATGTGGTCTAGTGGAGGGTGTCCCTGCCCGCAGCAAGTGGGTTGGAACTAGGTTATCTCTGAGGTCCCTTCCAACCCAAACCATTCTGTGATTCTATGAAAAGAGATTGCAAGGGAAACAGCTGGAAGATTGTCCTGCTGGTTTAGGACAAGTGTGAAACCATACCTTTAACTGTGCACAAAAGGCAGAATAAAGTAAATTTTGATGGTGAGTGCACCTTCCAGTAGTACCTGCTTCACACATACCTTCCTTGAAGTCCTGTGCAGTTCAAGCAAACAGAAAGAGATGCTTCTTCACATAATGCCTAAGTAAAGGGGAGTTTTAATTGTGGCTATTAGTGGAACAGGACACTGTGCTAGACTGACCTGGTGTCTTCTGACGTGGGACAGCTTATCCCTAAAGGTGACTTTCATGTTCTGCATTTAAATTCTACCAATAACATGTAATATACTGGGAGACATTTGTACAGTCACTTGTACAAATAAGTAACTTCCTTAGTCTTGCCTGTTTTTCACAGGAGAGCAGGGAATAAAAATTTCTGGGCATTTGTACAACAGGTTAAAAAAAGTTATTAAGAGATAAAATTATCAAAAAGTTTATTATCCCCAAAGATAAACCAAACTGAGATTGCTTTGCCATGCAACTTTATTTCCAGTTTAAATATAGATATATTTAATGGTACAGGTTTCTGTATTTAATGTTTTTGTTTTTCCTACAAGGCCCTTAACCAGAAAGTACAGTGCTCCACATAGTAACAGGGCCCTCCACTACTGGAAAGAAAGTCAACAGAATTTATGGGTTCTCGTTATCTGCAATAGGCAGGTGTTTTACAAAGTTACTGACCCACTGAACTTGACAAGAACTTAATGCTTAAATAAAACTGTGGGTCTTTGTCTCCGTTGCCTGATCAGCAAAATGGGTAGTTGTAAAACTGTCAGGTTAGCAGTGAAGTTACTACAGTAATAAGTATTAAACAGGAATAAAATGTGGAGAATGGTGTAAGTTCCTTATTTAAGCAAAGTTTGTATAATGTCTAAATAAAACTTGATTTATTCACTGAATGCTGGGGTTAAAAAAGAAATATTATTTCGATGCTTGCTGTGTTGAACACCATGCAGTAAAAATTATATGCATTTTTGTAAAAAGACTACCAGAATGCATATAAGCAAGTGACTGTCACCAGTATTCCAGATTGCCCCTTGTCTCTATTCACAGAAGAAAGTGCTGCTGGTATTACAGAAACATTTTGATCCTAGCAAAATAGTTGGAGCTTGCTAAGAGGTGTGGTGGCTGCTTCTTTTTTTGTGCAGACGTTTGGATTCAAACGCTCTTCACTGTGACTGTGAAATCCTGTGGCTGGCAGAGCTGTTGAAGACGTACGCGGAGTCAGGTAATGCTCAAGCAGCAGCTACCTGTGAGTATCCACGAAGGATCCAGGGAAGATCAGTGGCCACGATAACACCAGAAGAACTGAACTGTGGTAGGTTTATTGTAGCGTGTTCAATGTACCCAGACATTTTTTAAATTTTTTTTGTGGGGCGGCATGTTAAAATTTTTTCTTCTTTTTCTCTTTGATAACACTGAGCATTTCTGGTCAATATTGGGTATTTCCATAAATCTCCCTGTGTTCCTTCTCGACTTCTGACAGAACTGATTGCTTTTGTCCCTCAGCCTATCTTTAATGAAAGAAATATAGCCATGTTTGAAATTTCCCATTGAGGAACTAAATGTGAATGTGCAGAAAGAGTTTAGTTTTCCTTTTTGTATTTCAATTTTAGTTATAGAAGGAGTGTCAGCTAGGGTCTTTGGTGTTATGTTAATATTATTTGGTGTCCTTTATTCCTTTTTCTACAAGGGAAAGGGAAGAAAGAAGCCATACAGAATTGCTCCTGATTTCACAAACCTTATTGTTAAAACACTTGTTGATATTATTGGAGTCAAGGTTGGGCCACTGGATTTATTTCTTACTCAGCTGTACTTACAAGGAGTGCCCTGCACAGGCACTGAAATCCTGTCGCTGAAGGATTAATGGATAAGCACTTTTACAACAATCCTTTTGTTCATCTGTATTCCTTCAGCTTGGGAGTGCACAGGCTGTGCCCTGTGGACATCCCGGGGCTCAGCCTGGCACCTCTCCTGTTCCAGAGCCAAAATGCCAGTTTCTCATCAGATGAAGGGCATTTGCCTGCCCAGCCACGTGATGAGGTGAAGATATGAAATAAGTAAATTGTCCTTTTGATTATGTATTGGATATAAATCTGATCATGGAATTATGACCGTAAGCATCTACAAAGTTCTTGAAAAAGATAGTAAAAAGGGGATTCGGTGCAAGAATAATTCACATGGCATCCTACCAGCTCTCTGCACATCTAAGACGCCTGAATACGGAAACTGCAGGAAGCAAGCTGGACAAATTATTCTGAAGGAGGCAGGTTAGGCACTGATACTTATCTAGAGAAAGGTTTTTTTAAACGGGACTTGTGCTTGCTACTTTAAAGTTTTTCCTTCATAAGCAAATTGAGCCTCTGTTCAAATAAATAAAAGAGCTACTTTAGAACCTGATACAAATTTGCACAATCCATTTCCAGTCTGCTAAGAAGTCCTAAGGAACAATGGAGGAGGCCAGAAAGCCCACAGTCACTTCTGCATGGGGAAAAGTGCGTTTAATCCTGATTAAGCCTATAAATATTTTAAGTTAAAACATTTGTGAAAAGTTTTTCTACAAGGTGTATGGAAAATTTTTTATTTACCATTCTTTAATAGTTTTAAAACAAGTAAGAGTTCCTTATATGCTTTATTGTTGATACAGAGAGGCCAAGAATTACATCAGAGCCTCAGGATGTGGACGTTACCTCAGGGAATACAGTGTACTTCACTTGCAGAGCTGAAGGCAATCCTAAACCAGAAATTATCTGGCTTCGAAACAAGTAAGTTTAGAAGAGGAAGAGAGAAAACTGATGTGCATGTTTGTCTGGGTGCATGTCCACACACCTTACTTGCTAATATATGGACTAGTTACAATAGAAATGTTATAATTAAAAGAAATATATGAAGTAATAATGGCCCAGATCTGTTTTATTAGTAATTCTAAACACTTAAAAGCTGATAACTTTAGAAAATATTAATTCATGACTATAATACTATTGGTAAGATTTTCAACTGTACTTATACCTGCAAAGTTGCTCACACCTGTAAACCTATAAATCATTTGTATCTAAGTACCAGGCAATCCAATATGGACATGTTGCACATGCAGTCTGTGGGTTTAGCTAGTATTTGCAGACTCTGTGCAGTTCTGTTTGCATTACATTTTGAGGCAGAGCAAAAGCTACTTTTTTAAAGGACTCCAGCTTGATAAGAGTTAGGTTTCAGAGGAGGTCTTCCTTAAGGCCAGCTTCTCAGAGGCAGCTTTCCTCCAAGGTGTAGCTCCATCCCAGAAGAGGGGAGGTATTTCAATTTCCAGGCTCCCCAGGCCAGTACATGGAGGGGAGGCAAGTGCTTATGTCACAAGATTGTAGGGTAACTCAGGTTGGAGAGGATCTCAGGAGGTCTCCAGTGCAGCCTTCGGCTCAAAGCAGGTTCATACTAGGTTGTTATATCCAATTAGGTCCTAAAAGCCTCCAAGGGTGGAGGTGGCACAAGTGCTCTGTGCAACCTGCTCCATTGCTTCTCCTCACTGCTTAGGGGATGGAGGAAAGTGCCTATCAAGGACGTGCATCTTTCAGCAGCCCAAGGGCCAGCCTGCTACAGAGTGGCTGCTCAAGCTCTGCCCAGAGCCTGGCTCCCTCCAGCAGCGCTGGGCACAGCTCGACTGAACCAGCCACATGGTAGCGCATTGGCTCCCTTAAACTGATGTTAATTTACAATGGACGCATGAATTGTGAGTTTGCCACTAATTTATTCAGACTTCGGCTTAGTAATGCTCTTGTACAAATGGAAAACCTGATCTGGAAAATAAATTCCCTCACATTTTGTATTAGCAAATGAACCATTTTAGTTTGTTAGCTGCTGATAAAGTGGAACGATATAGAGTCCTGGTTCTGTAGCTTTGTGCTGATGTCAGTAAGAACCCCACATGCAGCAAGGGTACAGCGTTTATGGAGTATGTCAAGAATAGAGTCTTGAGCTTGGATAGTATAATTATTTCATTAAAATTTTCTTTGGCTCGTGTACTTTTTATAATAAATAAAGAAAACATGTATTCAGAATACACATATGAAAGAGTTTTAAGAAGAAATTTGAGCTTGGGGTGTGGGATTATTGACTCTGGCTTGTTTCCTGGCTGCATGAATGAGAGCAAAGCTCTTTGCAAGGTAGCTGAATATGGCAAGATTTCAGTCAAAAGCCGTTGACCTGTTGAGCGGTATGTTGAATAGATCAGCAGTCAGGCTGGGTTTTGTACATAGGGGGTGAGATCTCATCCCTCCTCTGTGCTTTCTTCATCATGTAGTGAGGGATGGAGCGAGAAAGAGTTCCTTTAATAAGAACTCCTAAGCATTCTTAGTTAATGTCACAGAAATGCATCCATGACGTAGCCTGAAGACCTAATCTTAATTTACAAATTATAATTGGGTTCATTAGTGCTCCTCAAGCAATCCAGACAGAGGTTAGCACAAAGATGATTTTACAGCAAATAACCCCTCTCCTCGCAGAAAGTATCTTGAATATTGAACTTACATGATATACTTCCAGTGGAAACATTTTAAATTGATTTGCCAGTTAGAACAGCCTTAAAGGAGAATGAGACCAGGTATTTATATTTTGTTAACTTTTTTCCCTTGTTATGGTATTTTGTTTTTCCATTTTGAAGATGTAATACTTGTATAAGCAAAATTGGTTCATTTTTTGGTTTTCCTCTTCTTCTCTTTAGGAGACAACTAAAATTTCTATTATTTTACTTAACACAGTAAAAACTTCTTTTTCCCCCAAGTTATTTCGGGTAATATATTTTGTTTTATTATTTGGCAGTTTTCTGTGCTTATGATTTAAAGGTTTAACTCCAGCAGATTCTTTTCTTCCCAGTAATGAGCTCAGTATGAAAGAAGATTCCCGTCTAAACTTGCTAGATGATGGCACGTTAATGATTCAGAACACTCAAGAAACAGACCAAGGCATTTACCAGTGCATGGCAAAAAATGTGGCTGGGGAAGTGAAAACTCAGGAAGTTACTCTTAGATACTTTGAGTCACCAGGTAAAGAACATCAAGTCTGAATTTTGCATTCAGATAGAGAATTGTTTTGATAAGAAGATTGCTAAAAATAAGATGCTTTGGCTCTTTTATGTTCTTGACATGTTGATTTCTTGTGCTTGGGCATCTTAAGAACTAGATCATGAAGTTATAATATCCCTAGAACAAAAATGCAAGTCAGCCAATCTTTATTGTAGTATGCAATTCTGATGGTAGTCGTGCAGGCTGTTTGTAGAAAGGGTAGGAAAAGAGGCTGTTGGCATTGCGACATTGCTCAGTGCAGTAACGTTCTCTCTGGATACCTGAAAACCACAAGCTTCCAAACAGGCCACTCATGAGAGCTTTGGCACACCCTGTGCAGCCTGAATCTCTCCCTAGCCAGGGCTTCATGTTTGCAAGCACTAAATTCCTGTCCAGCACTGTAACGTGTTTGAATTCCAAACTTTGCTGTGAGAAAATTTTGCTTTGACACTCAGGTGTCAGGTAAACTTAAAATATCACTGCAACATGCATATGTCGTTGGGAAAAGTTACAAAAATGTAGCTTAATCAGTTTTGTCTTTTTGTGCACTTACAGTGATTTTTAGCCAGTTTGTTTTCTAGGTCTCAGTGTCTATGCCTCTGAAGAGGACTTTATAAACATCAGCAAATGAGAAGGAAATGTTTGAAAATTGTTGTAATGGGAGTTAAGAAAAAATATCAGTTAATTATATGAGCTTTTATTTTTTACCTATTGATATTTATAGATGTCTGCAGCTAGATTAGGCTTAAGGCGAGGCAGAGTTTGCACCAAAAGTATCTTGGAACAAAGCTATTAAGAAACCCCTAGATTCCCCAAACTATTGCAATATTCAGCTAAATTAGTGCTATGTGAGCTAAAAGTCATATTTAGGCATCGCTTTTTTCTCACAGCCCGGCCAAGTTTTGTGATTCACCCGCAAAATACCGAAGTGCTAGTTGGAGAGAGCGTTACCTTGGAGTGCAGCGCAACCGGGCACCCTCAGCCACGCATTACCTGGACCAAAGGCGACAGAACCCCTTTACCAAGTGACCCTCGCATCACGATAACTCCATCGGGAGGACTTTACATACAAAATGTGAAGCAGGAGGACAGTGGCGAGTATACCTGTTTTGCAACTAACAGCATAGATAATATCCATGCAACTGCATACATCATAGTCCAAGGTGAGTAACGTTAAGCTAGGAGTGACATGCTGTAAAACATATTAGGAAGAGTATATTGCTTCAAATTGTGTGGTTTTGTCTTTTTTTCTGAATTGTCAGAGTGAAACTAAAACCGTAAGAGTTTTTTCTGTTAATTACAGTATTCTAGTGTAGTCCATAGGAAAGTTGCTATACATTTCATTCAGAGTAATATATTATATACTCATTCTCTGAAAGCTAAGTTTCATTGATTATTCTCAGAAGTTAATCATTGGTGGTTTGAAATGTGTATTTCTTATTGTACATTTTGTTTGCCTATAGGAATAAACATACAGTGTCCAGTTTGTGGGGGACTAAATGTTTTCTGTAACAGGTAGCAATCCTAGAAATTAGAATGTGTGTCTGGAGTAGTAGAAATGGAGTTTCAAGTACAGATCTCTGCTGCCTTTCTTAAATACTTGAGTGAGTGTGGAGTGTGGATACATTTTCTCCTGAGTTTTGTGGAAACTATCATTGCCAGCTGAGGTGTTAGCATAGCTTTTCTGCAAAACAAAAGTCAAAGTACTCTAGCTTACTGTGATCGCAATAAATTTGGTCTGCATGTCAATAGTATGACTGTAAGTATTTTGAGAACATAATATCAAAAAGCTTCCTATATTGATGGAGAATATTTTTTTTGCAAATGTTTTAATGCTGAAACTTTTATTTGCTAAACATTTTGAGTAACTTTTAAGTTTTCTTCTGTCGTCATATTAAGATCTCTAGTTGGCAGACAATTTTAGTTGCAAATGCTTTGTTAATGAGTTCAATTTTTAAAGCTATACACAACTTGTCCATGTAGTTTGTGCATTTATCATTCACCAATGGGTGATTGTGTTTGGAGAGCTGAACAAATTCCTTCTTACACTGCTAATACCATGGTGTTACAGCAAAAACTGGCGTGCACTCCACTCACTGCTTTCCTTTTGTGTAAAGAAAGCAAGCGTCTCAGGATGGTTTTGACTACATTGCATTTTCTTCACAATTTAGTTGAGGATTTTTTGAGAGAAAGAGAAGGTGTTTTTAATCCAGGGAACACTCCATGTTTGATGCTACAAGTCTTACTATGCCTCTTATTTTGGATCTGTGACAGTAGATCTCAGAGGTCTTCACTGACACCAGGGCCAGGTTGTGAGGGAGATGTTCCTGTTGCACAAGTGGCTACCGTATAGCAGTCACACTATCAAAGAGTTCCATTAGCATCTCTTTTCCCACCGATTAGAGCTATTTGAGTCACGCAGGAAACTGTATGTAATTTCGGACAGTCATGCATTTTTCAGTAATTTTTTTTTAACCAGTTTGTTTTCTCTTCTGTAGCTCTACCTCAGTTTACTGTCACTCCTCAAGACAAAACAGTGATTGAAGGACAAACTGTTGACTTCCCTTGTGAAGCGCAAGGCTATCCCCAGCCTGTTATTGCCTGGACTAAAGGAGGTAAGCTTCCTCCATTTTTACTTTTAATCTGCTGGAATAGTTTAACTGTCATTTTGGAATCACTGATGCATTGAAAGGAATTGTGTGTATTTGTTTAGATGCCTCAGTCTCTGAAGGAAACAGGGCTCATCTCTTCCTGCTTTAGCTAGAAAAGGCAAGGTGTCCCATAGAAGCTAACTGCCCAAGCATTTTTCATTATTCAGTAAAAAAGAGTCACTAAAAAAAAAAAAAGGTCTCCCGAACAGATTCCTAACAATAGATATGAGATAATAAATCACATGTGGCAATACCTATCACTGCTGGTTTACTGCAGAAGAAATGGAGATGGCTGTCATTAACTGGCCATCTGAAACTAGGTGGGATGTGCTCTCTTCAGAAATCAGAACAGTCCAACCTATAAGTGTATTTCTGTCACTTAATGCACATTGACAGGAATGCTGCGATGCGCTCTGCTGACTGTTTTCTCAGGTTGAGGCTGTAAGACATTAAGCCAAATCCAGCAGGAAAAAATACTGTAGTGGATGTTTAATAAGGAAGTAAATATTCCAGTTGAATCAAATGCAATAGCTCTAGCAGGCAAAACAACTGTTATGAAATTCTAAATTATGGTAGATAAAGCAGATTTTTAACAAACTCTTGATCATTTTGAGCTGATAACGTCCCTGTTTCTCAATCTACCAAGATTGCTCCAATCAAATGAAATATCCGGAAAGGAAGAATAGCATACGGATACTGATGTGCCTTTTATTTCATTTCTATTACATTCCATTTTTCAGGGCTGTACATATTTTGCTATGAATTCTCAAGATAGCCTAGGCAGATGAGATGAATTGTGTCTTACACATACGGCAATAATATGAAATGAACAGTAATACATGTTGGTGTCCTTATGATGCCTTCTTATTCAGCTGCTTTATCATGCTCCTTAAATTAAATTCATTTCTACCACAAACAGAGAAGACATCAGGATTATGATTGTGTGCATATGTATGTTTTATTTGCTTTGCATGTTAATCTTCTGGAAAGTAAAGGTTTCAGCTTTTTTTTTTTTTTAAGAGACTATAATTTTTCCAATGTTTTATCCAATTTAAAATCTTCTGGATTTTCCTTTTTTTGACACAAAGGGACTTTGTTCTGCACTGCTATAAACAGCAAATGCTGTTGCTCTGTGTTTCAGGAGGCCAGTTGTCTGTTGACAGAAGACACTTAGTTCTATCCTCTGGAACCCTAAGGATTTCCAGGGTTGCTCTGCATGACCAGGGACAGTATGAATGCCAAGCTGTCAACATTATCGGATCTCAACGAATTGTTGTTTACCTGACTGTACAGCCTAGAGGTGTGTTCTCCTTGTACAGCTGCTGGGGAAAAAAAAAAAAAAAAGATTTAAGCTTATGCTAGAATTCACAGTACTGTGATTTATTTATTTTTTTCCTAAAATATGACTGAGAATTAATTATTTTTGATGGCAGAAAATGTTAATGTGAAGTAGTTTATCTTTGTTTAGAATTAAAAAAAGCTTTTGAAACAGAGATTGAATAGTTCTTGGGTTTTTCTGCAGGACTTTTGCTGCATTTTACAATGAATTTAAGTTGCTGGGTTTTAATTATAAGATGCTTTATTAGTTTTTATAAATTGAGCATGTGGGACTGTGATCTGTGTCATGTCACCTAAAGACTACATAAGCTTGCAACTAAACATGGCCTTTTTTGATAAAAGCTTGTTAGAATGAGGTTATATCTTTTGTTGTTTAGAAAAGTTGCTGTTCAGGGTATTGCTAATGTTTCACATTTCTGATCATTATTTCTGAGTATATCTATTTTGAGATTTCAGGTGGTTTTTAATAAATAACATGTATGGATACTTACCAGTATTTATACAGAATATCATTCCTTTAGAACAGTCTGTCTTCTGTGAACGAGGTTTATCTGATTTACTTTTTTGTAAAGAATGGAGGTCTGCTTTGTGGATGACATTATTCCTATGCTCAGGAAAGTGTTTTATTTTGTGAAAAGACTTATAAGACTTATAAGATTCTATGCTGTTAGGTGTTCAAAAAACATGTAGACGTGGCACTTCAGGACATGGCTTAGTAGACATGGTGGTGTTGGGTTGACAGTTGGACTTGATGATCTTAGAGGTCTTTTCCAACCTTAAAGATTCTATGATTCTGAGTAAATAGTGTTACTAACATAACGTTTTGATGTCCAGAAACAGAACACAATGAAACGTCATTCCTTATACCTAAAATAAGCAGACACAGAAAAAAAAAAAACCCACTCCATTTTTCTTATGCTTTTCTTCAAGTAAATTCTAAGTAAGCTACTTCTAGGATTAATTAGAATCATATTAATATTTAACATTTAGTTAAGTACTTTGGTATTTAACTAAATTCAAGGAGATTAAACATTTAATACAAAGCATTTCCTGTTAATGACCTAATTTTAAACAGCATTTTAGTGAAAGAGGCTCAAATGTCTTCCTGAGCTTAGATGTTTGTCAGAAAAAGCTTCCATTGATTTTTCTTAACTAAGAGTAGTACTAGGAGATTGATTTGTCAAAATCAAGATTTTTTTTCACCTATATAAAATTGTTGACTAAAATTCCATAAAACAAAAGTCAATTTTAAAAAGTTTTATAACCTTCCAGCTGTGTTTGTTAAACTTCACTGAACTTCAGTAAAGTTTAATAAAATGATTGTTGTGTAACTTGGGTTGCAAAATCCACACCAAAAGATAGTAAATACAAGATTGAAGGCTGCATAATTGGAGCTCTCCATACATTCATTGCAATGCTATTTTCAGTTGTGTAAGAAGAGAAAACTTTTTCTTCTGGGCTGCTAACAAAAGGACTGTTCATCTGAGGAATGTCTAGTCAGTGGTCACTGTGGCTAAATCTGTATTAATGAATACAGATGAATGGTCCAGGTCTGTCTGGTGGCATGACATGGCTCACATCCACAGAGCCAGACTCTTACCTCCCAGTGCCAGACGCCTGCCTCTGGATGCCTTGTTTGAAATGGTTTCTGGTCCTTGATTACCATTTGTGTACAAACAATTTCACACCAAGGACAGATTTGGTTGATAGTATAAATGTATGTATGCTGGGTGGCTAAGTACTTCTCTGTAAAAGCACAACCCCCTTCCACCCCCCCACCCCGCAAAAAATACTGATATATTACAGCAGAAATACAGTTTTTCATGTCTTCATAATCTTGTATGTGCTTCTTATGACGATACCTGTCTGCTGGATGTCAATCTGGATTTGAAGGAAATTAGGATTTTAAAATGCATTCATTTTCTTCACACTGGGTTTAGGTAACTGTACCCTGTGTCCTTAAAATTAAAGGTGATTTTTTTATATTTTAAAGCCTGGGACTCGTTGATGTCAGAGGGTAAGAGCTCTGTGAAGGCTTAGCACCTCAGCAAGTTGGTCTGGGGGAGTCAGAGTTGAATAAGTTGTGGAAAGTTTTGCTTTTATCATCTAAGAAATCTCTGTTGTTGCTATTTAAAAAATTAAAACTTGAAAAAATGGCTAAATCTGAACAAAGTCACCAGAATTGATGGAATATCAATTCTGGTGACTTTGTTCAGATTTAGCTGAGTAGCTAAATTTTTTTCAGAGCTTTTAATTTGTGGAACTGCCCTGGTTTCAGCTGAGAGGATTGATTTTCTTCATAGTAGCTAGTGTTTATTACACAGGGCCAAGGCCTATTTCTGCTTCTTGCACTGCCCTGCCAGCGGGATGGCTGGGGGTGCACAAGGAGTTGGGAGGAGACACAGACAGGACAGGTGACCCAAACGGACCAAAGGGATATTCCATACTAGATGAATAGTCATGCTCAGTTTTTAAGGAGCTTGGGGGAAGGGGGGGTGGGGGGGTGGCGGCATTCGGAGCAATGGCCTTTGTCTTCCCAAGTAACCATTACGTGTGACGGAGCCCTGCTTTCCTGGAGATGGCTGAACACCTGCCCACCCATGGGAAGTGGTGAATGAATTCCTTGCTTTGCTTTGCTTGTGTGCGCAGCTTTTGCTTTACCTATTGAACTGTCTTTATCTCAACACTTTAACTTTTCCAATTCTCTCCCCCATCCCGATGGGGGGGAGTGAACAAGTGGCTGCGTGGTGCTCACCTGCTGTCTGGGGTCAAACCACAACAGTCCTTTTTGGCACCCAGTGTGGGGCTCGAACACACAACCCTGAGATTAAGAGTCTCACGCTCTACCAACTGAGCTAGCTAACTGGTTTGACATCCACCATCCTGCTGGCAGGCAGTGCAAGAAGCAGAAATAGACCTTGGCCCTGCATAAACACTGCTCAACAACAGGTCCATAGAACAAACACATCTCTATATTATCAATGCTGTCTCCAGCACAAATCCAAAACATATCCCCACACTAGCTACTATGAAGAAAATCAGTCCTCTCAGCTGAAACCAGGACAGGTACTTTTTTGGCAACTACTAGCCTGTTTTGTTAGAAGTTAAGAGTACTTAAAAATCAGCCTGAAGCAGACATCAAGAATAAGGAATTTTATCTCTAAGACAAACTTATAGGCAACTACAAACTTGCAGGCAGAATAGGGTTATAGATTAAGAAATGTTGGGTAACTTAAAAAAAAAAAAAGAAAAAGCAGTGCTAACCTCTTTTTAGATCGTCTTTTGCACAAGTTGTATTTCCTACGTTGCCAATGTATCATTTGTTTTTTTAGTGACTCCTGTATTCGCCAGCGTTCCCAGTGACATGACAGTGGAGGTTGGCACAAACGTGCAGATCCCGTGCAGCGCTCAAGGAGAGCCGGAGCCAGTAATTACATGGAATAAGGTACTAGATATTTTTCTGGTTGTTGCGGAAAGGCAGTGGCCTTTCCATGTCTTCATAACTAGCTATTTAAAGTGCACATCATCAAATTATTGCTTGCTTTGGTGTCTGAAAACATTACCTGAAGTTTGACCAGCAAATCTTCTTTAATACAGAGCATGGGTGTAGATACCAATTCTGAATTTTTTTTTTAT